ATCTTCATCTAAGTCCTGTCTCCTGTTGTCTTGTTGCATCTGTATTTATACCAGTTGATTCTAATCCTATCAATCTCTATTCCAAAGGTTAGGGAGTTTCTTATCTCCATTCCAGGGAGAAAAGATTATGTAGCTTAAGCATGATTGTTCGTAGTTAAAGTGATTAATTACCCTCCTGGCACTTAGTTAAGAGGTTTTATTCCCTCCCTAACTTCAGGGGAAAATCCCTACCCGGAGAAACAACCTTTCTCGGAGAGGTGACCTTGGTTAAAACACATAGTGCCAAGAAGGTGAACAAACATATTAAGAACAGTATGCCATATATGCCAGGTCCCTTGAAACAGCAAGGATGGACTGGCTCCCGGCAATGCACCACCACTGAGCCACTCTGGCCAGGCTCTTTTTTGATTCTTAAAAAATTATTGAGATAAAACCACATCACAGAGAATTAATCATTTTAAAGTGAAAAAGGCAGTGGCATTTGGTATGTTCATGATCCGTCACCAGCAGCTCTGTCTAGTTCTAAAGCGTTCATCACCTGGGGTCTTCTGCCCACGACCCTGAACATCAGTTTTCTCCTCCGGCAGGTGTAATCTGCAGCCCTAGGTGTGCATGGCTGCCGCCTGTGGTGGGTCGCTGGGTCCTTCTAGGTCATTCTGCTGGCCAATGTCCCTTCCAAGATGGCTCGAGGTTGGCTCCTTCCCACCTGGGCCACATCTGGCCTGTGGGAAGGCACACGTCTTTGCCTCCCCTCCCGCCCCTTCTCTGAGAGTGAAGGGAAAGGGGAAATGTCCAGCTCTCCCACACTCTTCCAGATCTTGTCTCTCTGTTACAGGCTGGAGGTGGTGTTCAAGGACTACTTCCCCAAATAAAGTCTATGATCCCTTATCTGAGATTTGCTTTTGGGGGGGGGGGGCAGAATCTCGAACTATCTTTAACTTTACTACTGCCTTTGCCAAAATTAAAAAGAATAACTACGTATCTATAGTTATTTCTCTTCCAGCTGACTAGAAGGTCTTTAAAAACCGGCCTTATTTGTCATCCACGTAGTTCATAATAAATGCTCGCTAAACAAATGGCCCAGGGGTGGAAAAACACGATGAGCTTACAAATAGCAGGTGAAGGCTATTGCATTTGTAAGATGTTTCTCATGCTTTATCTCGGTCACCTCTACAACTCTAGGAGAGGTGCTGTGATTATCCTCACATTGCAAATGAGGTGCAAGCCGAGAGAAGTTAGGTAACTTACCCAGAGTCACACAGCTAGGGAGAAAAGAAGTCGGGGTTTGAACCCTGGCCCCATCACCCGGTTGGTCTCTGATCAACGCTTTCATTGGGGGACTAGAGAAGCTTACTATTGGAGCATAAAGTGCTGGCACGGTGCGGAGCTGTCTTGGTTGGCAGGGGACGGATCACGAAGGATCTGTGTCTGGGGATTTTCACCCTGCAGGCAACCGGGAACCTCTGAAAGCCTAACACATTTTCTCCTCGTGAGCCTTTCCGTTCCCGGTATTTTAGAAAATACAAGCAGTTTGAGGACTGTCCACAAGGGGGCAGGCGTTGGCAAT